GGAGAGCCGTCCGCGGAGACAAATCACTTCCTTCACCGCGCTGGCGCCGCTCCTGCTAATGTAGCCTGGCGCCACGGATAATAAAAGGAATCCGATTTTTCTTCAGGTGGGGAGGGGGAAACTACCCAAATCTTTACGCTGTTTCCACAGACCATTTCCTTTTATGATATCTAGGCACTGGGATAGCTTCAATTGATTAAGCAAATAGTGAATGAGAATTCGCCAATATTTGGCCAGCAAACGTCTGGCGATCCATGTTGGTTAACCCCCAGGAGAGGGGCCAGCCCGAGCTGGGAATCAGTGGGCTGGGCATTGGCTGCCCTCAGCTTAGCCGCCTCCTCTCCCTTTCTGGTTCCAAGATGGCGCCTGTGGTCCTGCGAGGAGGGTTAACCCCACAGAACTGCAGACAGAGCCAGACACTCTCTCCTGTGAAAGCCACCCTGGGATGCGTGCCTTCTTCTGCAGTGACACCTGTGTCCGTTCCCACTTGAGAGACGTCGGGGGACCAGACCGCGCCTGGCTGCGTCCCGACGCGTCCCGCTGGTTTCTTCCCTACAAGCGCGTCCGTCGCATTCCCTCTTCCCTCGTGTCCCTACGCACACGCTCACACCTCGCTCTGCTCTCTGTTCATGGAGCTAGTGTTTTCAGTGGAAGATGCACCAGTATACTGATATAAAATATAAAGAAGAAAATGAAAGTTGCTCACGATTCCGCTACCTTCTAACTTTTTCTAGACAACGTTATTCTGTAACATTACATATTGTGTAATATTATTTCATAATGACAGGTCCACTGCATCATGATGAAGGACAGGGAAGCCTGGCATGCTGCAGTCCATGGGGTCACAAAGAGTCAGACTTGACTTGGCAACCGAACAACAACAATATCAACAAAATCTTGTCACACATGTTTGTTGTGAGGATTTCCCCCTGGTATTAAATACTCCTTACAAGATATTAACTTTAGCTATGGTATAATGTTTCACTGAGCGTACAGTTTGACCACTATTTTGTGTTGAAATAGCTACCTGGTTTCTGGCATTTAGCTAGTAAAATGTTTCAAAAAGTACAGTCTTGATCATATTTTTGGTTGTTCTCTGGGATAAAATCTTGTAAGTGAAATTCCTGGATGACTATTGATACATCCTGGAAATTTGCTTCCAGGAATCTGTACTAAATTTAAATTATTCCCTAAGAGTTCTAGGATGATGTTGTTTTCTCTGCACTCTGCTGCTTCCTAGTTGAAGGCAAAGAAACATGAAGCCCGACAGTTATGTTTCATCTGCTCCGTGGCTGTGGTCGGTGCCTCCAGCTTCTGTGTCCAGGTTCACACCTCCTGCCGTCTGTCTGTAACCCACCGTCTTCCTGACCAGAACCTTGGGACTGCCCTTGACAACCACGCTCCCCTGTCCACTGACAGTGGATCCACCCGCCACTCTTTGGCCACCTCCTGCTTCTCTGATCTCTGCCTTTTTAACTTGTTTTTCCATCATCTTCTAATCCTCCCTTCTTAGAATCCTTAGCACATCTTTGAAAAATAGATACAATTATGAGATTCTCCTAAGATGTATGGTACTTGACTATGTCACAGGAGTCTTGTTGACTTACCGTGAAGTCACTCCCATCCCTGAGCAGATGGTTTCCTGCCCTCCCGTCACACTGTCTCTCCTTCTAGCCCCCTCACTGGGTCCTTCCTCTGCCTCAGATGGGATTCCTACCCCTTCTCTCCCTGGGGAGCTCAGCCCACAGGTCATGTCTTCCCTAGCTGAGCTGACTCCTTCGACCAGAGCTCATAACTGAACTTCCCATCTGCTGTGGTGCCGACCACACTGTGTCTCCACGGGTGGCTGGTCATCTCCCCTCTGAGCCCTAGAAGGTCAGTCTGTGTCCCTCACGCACTCGCCTGCAGCCTGCTGGCGGTGTTGTCCCTCACACTTGTGAGTTGCTTGGTGTCTGTATGGTGTTGTCTTCTCCTGACTGTGTACGGGGCTTCATGTGCACTCATTGAAAGTGGTTTTAAACCATTCACAAAATGTAGTTTAACCTGTAGCTGATTTTTAGATTGTCTTAAAAATCATATCGGCTTCATTTATGATCTACTGCTAAGAAGCAAACATTTTAAAACCAGGAAAATCAGAAGCTTGCAAGTGCTCTGTCCAGAGGACCCCAGATTGGAAATAACCAGGGTTGCTTATAATTCATGGTCAACTGATTAGACACTTTGTCTTATCCTTAAAAATGTTCAACACTTAACAATAAGCAATTAAGCCATGAGAAACTGGAAGGGTCTAGAGGCTGCAAAAGACAACAGCTTCTAATAAATTAGGATAATAATAAATTACACATCGACCCAGTGACCAGTTTCCGTTATCTGTAGGATTTTATGCGGTCTTTGGAGGAGGATCATTCTGTGGTCAATTCAGCTGTTTTCCATACGTTAGGTGGTTGTGGTTTTCCTCTTGAACTTGAACTCGATTTGCAAATGCCAGCAACATCAGCTTCTCTTTTCCTTCCCCTTTGATCACAGTCCTAAGAGTTTTAGGATAGATGTGCTACTGTGAAAGGTTTAGTGGTTCTGCAACAGGAAAACCAGCCTGAAATATCTTCCTTTGGCCAGAATTTCTCCTTCTCTTATCACCAGTTGCACCAAGGTTTCAGATTTCTGTATGTAGTTTACTGCAAGGAGCTGGGAGGGTTTCCATTGACTTCAGTTCTGGTGAGCAGACCAATGGCTTCCTGGATACTAATACCGTTTCTTAGATTAGTACTATAAATGTATGAACCTGTCTTATCAGGTAACTTAAGCAAGCAATCTCTGTGCATTAATTGCGGTTGAAGTTAATGTTATTTACAAAATGAAATCAATATAACCTCTACTGCTCATTAACTGAGATGTTCTGGGCTCAATTCTATTTTATTTTCCAATTAAGTTCTATTAGTTTTTCTTATTGGCCCTTGAAAAAATAGCTGTGGAAACAAACAATGGTTCAGAGTCAACAATATGTCCTAAACCTTATATATTTGGATCTAAAAAGGATCTAATGTTCAATTATTAGAAATTACAAGATACTCTAATATATGCATGCTCAGTTGCTTAGTCTTGTCCAACTCTTTCTGACCCCGTGGACTGTAGCCCACCAGGCTCCTCTGTCTATGAGATTTTTTCAGGCAAGTATAGTGGAGTGGATTGCCATTTCCTTCTCCAGGGGACCTTCCTGACCCAGGGGTCAAACCCACATCTCCTGTTTGACATACTGATTCTTCACCACTGCAACCCCTGGGAAGGCTGGCGGCCAGGGAGCAACATCCTCAAAGCTCAGCATTCACTGTGTAAAATACAGGCTGGGGCCCCTTGCACAGACACCATTCCTTAGACTGCTTCATTCATGTGTTATTTGTGCTTGTTACAGCCTGTAACTTTCCCCGAGGGTGCCCAGCTCTGTCCAATGTGCTGTCTGAAGGCCGGGATCAGAAACACTTCAGTCATGTTTACAATTTTAGAAATCACTTCCCACTGAGTTGTAGCTACCTTAACAATTGCCCGAAAGAATATTGCTCACAAAGCACTCTGATCAGATTCTCCCTTGTATACGTAGTCCACCTATTTTTGTATGTAAGGCAAGTGGCAACAAGTACTGTCTCCAACAAATTATTTCTGCTGTTAGAACTTTAACTGTTTGTTGCCTTCTAAATATAGTCATATGCTAACATAGTAGTAAAAGATTTAGATTATGTTGAATCCTATCAACCTCCCTCAATCTCTCTTTCTTGCTTTCCTGGAATAAATTTCTTTAAAAAATGAATCAACAGTGTTAGAATTGATATGATTTGTATTTTTTGTCTATTTTTGAGAGCAAGTTGATTGACCTCTAGCTTATTTGTCCAACGCAGAGCCACTCAGCCACACGTAGCTGTCGAACACCTTAAGATGACCCAGTTAGAGAAGAGCCATGAGTGTGAAACACAGAACAGATTCTGAATGTGAAATGCATCAATAATCTTAAAATTGACTATATGCCGAAATGATAGTTTTCTGGGTATGTTGGGTTAAGCACTCTACAGTCCATGGGGCTACAAAGAGTCGGACAAGATTGAGTGACTAACGCTTTCACTTTCATTATTAAAATTAGCTTAATTTTTTTCCTTTTAAAATGCAACAACTAGAAAAAGCACAGGTGATTGGAATCTTTGTCTTTGTTTTCTATTAAGCAAAGCTAACCTAGAGTCAAATGGCACTACTGGTAGAGTCTGTCTGCCAATGCAGGAGACTCAAGACTTGCAGGTTCAATCCCTGAGTCAGGAAGATCCTCTGGAGGAGGAAATAGCAACCACTCTAGTATTCTTGCCTGGAAAAATCCCATGGACAGTGGAGCCTGGCAGGCTACAGTCCATGGGGTCACAAAGAGTCTGACATGACTGAGCAACTGAACATACAATTTAGAATGACCTAGGATGTAGAAGCCCCTTCCTGGTTTTTCAGCCATCTGAAAAAGTCAGAGTCATCCTTTTAACCCAGTGTGACTCTCAAGAAGTCAGTGGAACCATCGCTTACTAAGTTGTGCCATTTGATTGTAAACCTCAGTCTAGCAGCAAAAAGCACATAATTCCCCCCTCCAGACAGGCTCCCTTTACAAGCAGGGACTGAGCTTCTCCAGGTAAGTGTGGCTTCATAAATTCTAATTGATAGTAACACCAATAAACTAAGGGAGATTAATTTACAATTATGGTTTATAAGGAACAAGCAGCAGAAAACCCTGTGAATGTGCCGTAATGTATACTACATATAAAGTAATATTACACTGTTATAACACCAAGCTGCATGATTGTATTTCTGTCTTCACACTTGCCTTCTTGGCTTCTGGTAAATTGGCAGAGATTTAAAATATGAAATTAGCTTCTTAACAACCAAGCATAATTAGTTGTAACATTCTCTGATCAAATCATTAAACACACACACATGCGATGACTTGTAAGAATAATTCACTCTCGTTTCTCTGCAGGTCAGACCTCCTTGTCTCTCTGTTTCCAGTGTAGCCCAGAAGAGCAGGTGCTCTTGGAGACGGTGTGAGCTTCTGACAGGCTGAGTGCTTGGGGAGCCCCCTCATCTGCCAGGCGACCCCCGTTTCTCCTCCCGCCCTTCTGGCTGCTGGGCCTGCAGCCCTCGTTCACGGAGAGGACCCCGAGGCTGACCGGGCAGCGCAGGACACAGACCCTGAGGGGCCGAGGCCGCCTCCGCAGGGCTGGAGCCCCCGCCCAGCCCCCTGCTCTGCCCACCCGGCCCGGGGTGTCCAAGCCTCTGTCTCAGGCTCGAGGAAAGTCCCTGTGCTCGCCTGGGGGGCAGACTGGGAGGCACAGCTGTCCTGGGCTCTGATGTGGTTTCTGGGGTCTGCTGGCCTTTCCTCTCCCGGATTCAGACTCTGAGCAGCACACGTGCGTTTGCCGGACTAGCCAGCACCTCGCTCGCCAGCCCCTGCCCAGCTTGCTCGCCAGCTGCCCTCTTGCTCCTCTCCGGGGTGACCTGTGACCCCACCTCAGTTACCAACCACTGCCCCCCCAGCTCAACGTCCAAGAGCAGGTTTTCTGAACTGCCCGGTTTCCCTTCTAGTTTTCTTGCTTCCTCAGCCGTGACTCCCTTGGATCGAGGCCCTGCCTTCCCAGGGCCCTGTCACTGACCTTCCGAGGCCCCACGGTCATGCTGACCCCACTCCCCACCACCGGGCAGGGACCGTTTCTGGAAGCCTGAAGGTTGGCTTCTCTCATCACTATTTTTAAAAATGTTTTTTGTCAAATAAACATTTTATAAGCAGTTATGACATCATCACTATTATTACTATTTAAAAATTCAATTCCACTCTGTTGGTCTACAGACAGTTCTTTTTCTGTGTTAAGTTGCCTCCATATGACTGAAATTTCCTCGGGCTCAGGAGCTCTTCTGAGTCACATGCTGGTGGTCCCCAACTCTAGTTTCCAGCTGTACCTTTCACACTTTTTTCTTCAGATGGTTTAATTTTTTGGCCTATTTCCTCATGGTTAATTTCCTATATTTAGGAAAGCAATGTTTTTAAAGATAATGCCAGTTATTTTAAAAAGCCAAATTATTGTTTCTCTTCTATTTTTTCTTGACTATGCTAGAGAGAATCAGAAGATAGACACCATTTTAGACTCCATCAGTGATTAACATAAACATGCTTTAAAACTAATATTTGTTATTTGTAGTAGGAAAATTTTGTAAGAGCCCAAATGTCCAACTTCTAGAGAAATTGTTAAAAAATTATTAACATTCATATTGTGAAAGTTTCCAAACAGACAATATGCTATGGAGAGTAATTTGGCAAGATTTGTGCTCTTTATCCCAGAAATGCTAGTTTTCAGACTCTGTTCTATGAAAGCTATCAGAAATATGGTGAAGGACTTACATACAAAGATGCCTTCTGAGTGGGATTTGTAAAAAGATAAAACACTGGAAACCATTCAAAGAATAATTGTGTAATTAAGTACTATTGAGCCATAAAGTCATGTTTTTGAAGATTAGCTATAATCAAGTGTTCATGAGACAATGTTGAATGTAAAAAACTCACAAGATAAAAATATATGGACAGTCTGGTCCCCAGCTTCTTGTATGCTCACTAAATGGGACAAAGTCTTTTTTATATATTGTGCTTCCTTTGCTTTAAATGAGAATTGCGTTATTGCTATTTTCTTCTGGGTTTTGTTGCTAATACAATGAGATAAATGGCATGTTTTCTAGCATTTGTTCACACACAGAACGCCTCTAGCAGAGAAGCGCTGGTCTTCTGAAATACCCTCTCCCCGACCCGAGCACGCACTGGGGTGACCCTGGGGGGGGGCAGGGCGGGGTCAGGCCAGCCCCCCAGCTCATCACCGCCGAGCATTTCAGTGTGAGCAGCCATGTGAGGCGGGAACAGACGAGGAAGGTTCGGCCAAAATGAGAAGAGAGCGGGTTCTGCCCCCGGCCCTTTGCTCTGAAATGCCGGGAAGGAGGGTGTGGATGCCGGGCAGGGACGTGAAATCTTCTGCGTTTAGTCACCAGCAGAGTTTCGAGCAGCGAAGCCAGGGAAGCAGAAACAGATGGCTCTGATTTTCTCTGAAATGTGGACAGATTGAGGAGGAAGAAGCTTGGCACGAAGATGCAGGGCTTTGGCCAAACGGAGAGCCTCTGCGAGACGGCATGCAGCCCTGGAGGGACATGAAAGTGCCCGAACGCTCCCGGAAAGTGTGCCGTGATGGGGACTCGGGAGATGGAGCCAGGCGGGACGGGACCGCATGACCTTGGCGTCGACTCCTCGCTGGCGGCCGAGGGGGAGGAGAGGGTCTCGGTGTCAAGGGCCCAGCTTCCCACACCAACCTCTGCCTGCCTCACTGGGACACATGTAAGCTACCTTTTGTAGAAAGTAAGGAACAAAAAATGTCCTCAACCCCAGCTGCCAACAATGAGCGGGACAACCAGACGGAAGATGAGGGAGGAAAGGGAGGCCTCAACACTGGGGTAAACCCACAAGATTCAGGAGACGCCAGGACCCCCACCAACAGCAGACGAATGTGCTCCCCAAGTGTGCACGGCAGGGTCCAGATTAGACCTCAGTCAGGCTGCGAAGTAAGCCTCCACAGATTTTAAAGACAGACATCACATGAAGTATCTGCTACAGTCATGGTGAGGTGAAGTTAGCAACTAATAATAGAAGGGAAACTGGGGACATCATAGATGTGTGGAAATTGATATACTCAATCAATGCATCAAAGAAAAATGTCAAAGGGAAATTAGAAAATACTTAGAGATGACTGAAAATGAAAACAAAAAACATAGTATATGAAAATCTTCTAAAGATACTCTTTTTTTTTAAGCATATTGGGGTTTTATCAGCTTTGATGCTTTGTTTGTTAAATAACAGATCTATTTCTGTTTTAATAACAAAAAGTCAATTTCAGTATCTTTAACAATAGATAAAAAATTACTCTGAAAAATCTAGAGATAGTTCTTCAGCAGCTCAACTGACAGGATCAGGATTCGGGACCCAGTTTCTCCCTGCTCTTTCAGTCAGCTCCATCCAGGCGGGTGTGCTGGACCTCATGGTCACTAGATGGCTGCAGAAGCTTCTTGGGCTCCAGGCTTCCAGGCTCAAATCTAGTAGAAAATACAAAATCTTGAAGACTGAAAACAACAACAACAACAACACAACCTGAAAGATGAGAATGGTGTTTTGCTTCCTGACCTTACTGAGGACCATAGCCTGGCACACAACTTCTCAGACTGCTCTGAGGGACTATTCCAAAGACGTAAGGGAGGAGCTAGAATAGAGGAGTTTTTGCTGATAAAAACATGCAGTAGGACATCAGAATATAACTGCTAATCACAAAAAAGACATCTCAAATTAATGATTTTAGTGCTTTTCTATGTATGGGAATATTCAGGAGTCTGGGCTCATTAAAATCATCCCTTACAGTTCAGTCGCTCAGTTCAGTCGCTCAGCTGTGTCCGATTCTTTGCAACCCCATGTACTGCAGCACGCCAGCCTTCCCTGTCCATCACCAATTCCCAAAGTTGCTCAAACTCATGTCCATTGAGATGGCGATGCCATTCAACCATCTCATCTTCTGTTGTCCCCTTCTCCTGCCCTCAATCTTTCTCAGCATCAGGGTCTTTTCCAGTGAGTCACCTCTTTACATCAGGTGGCCAAAGGATTGGAGTTTCAGCTTCAGCATCAGTCCTGCCAATAAATATTCAGGACTGATCTCCTTTAGGATGGACTGGTTGGATCTCCTTGCAGTCCAAGGGCCTCTCAAGAGTCTTCTCCAACACCACATTTCAAAAGCATCAATTATTTGGCACTCAGCTTTCTTTATGCTCCAACTCTCACATCCACACATGACTACTGGAAAAACCATAGCTTTGACTAGATGGACCTTTGTTGGCAAAGTAATGTCTGTGCTTTTTAAAATGCTGTCTAGGTTGGTCATAGCTTTTCTTCCAAGGAGCAAGCATCTTTTAATTTCATGGCTGCAGTCACCATCTGCTGTGATTTTGGAGCCCAAAAAGTCCGTCACTGTTTCCACTGTTTCCCCGTCTATTTGCCATGAGGTGATGGGACCAGATGCCATGATCTTTGCTTTTTGAATGTTGAGTTTTAAGCCAGCTTTTCCACTCTCCTCTTTCACCTTCATCAAGAGACTCTTCAGTGCTTCTTCACTTTCTGCCATAAGGGTGGTATCATCTGCATATCTGAGGTTATTGATATTTCTCCCAGCAATCTTGATTCCAGCTTGTGCTTCATCCAGCCTGGCATTTCACATGATGTACTCTGCATAGAAGTTAAATAAGCAGGGTGACAATATACAGCCTTGACATACTCCTTCCCCAATTTGGAACCAATCTGCTGTTCCATGTCCGGTTCTAACTGTTGCTTCTTGACCTGCATACAGATTTCTCAGGAGGCAGGTCAGGTGGTCTGGTATTCCCATCTCTTTAAGAATTTTCCACACTTTGTTGTGATCTACAAAGTCAAAGGCTTTGGCGTAAGCAATAAAGGAGAAGTAGATTTTTTTTTGGAACTCTCTTACTTTTTTGATGATCCAACAGATATTGGCAATTTGATCTCTGGTTCCTCTGCCTTTTCTAAATCCTGCTTGAATATCTGGAAGTTCACAGTTCACGTACTATTGAAACCTGGCTTGTGGAATTTTGAACATTACTTTGCTAGTGTGTGAAATGAATGCAGTTGTGCAGCAGTTTGAATATTCTTTGGCATTGCCTTTCTTTGGGACTAGAATGAAGACTGACCTTTTCCAGTCTTCCTCGCACGTGCACCTTAGCCATCGATGGCCAGCGTCCTATTTTCTCCACCCTGAACCCCTCGGGCGCACCACCAGGGGTGGCAGTGGCTGCTGGCTTGAGAGAGGCAAGGTCCTATGTGTAGGAAATGGAAGGGGACAGAATTTTTGTCCACACTCTTCTTCCCAGGAAACTCAGAACACAGTCCTGAGTCATGTGTGCACCCCTGAACCAAGGTCTGTGGTCAGGGCACTGACTGGACCAAACCACTGATGGTCCTGTCTCTGAGGGGAGACTGGGCTTCCCACATGGCCTGGGAAAGCAGGGCAATGGCCAGGAATCTGAAGAAGGGGTGGGTGTGGGCAAAAGGACCCCTATCCCCATCAATTCCACAGGGGTTCATGCATTTAGATTTTTTTCTATATATATATCATATTCCAAAACAGATTAAAATAAATATTTTTTCTTTCATGATCTTCTTTCCTAGTTCAAGAAGATGAAGATCATAAAAGAAAGAATATTTATTTCTTCTTTTGTAATTCAAGTGCTTCCCTAGTAGCTCAGCCGGTAAAGAATCTGCCTGCAATGCAGGAGACCCCGGTTCGATTCCTGGGTCGGGAAGATCCGCTGGAGAAGGGATAGACTGCCCACTCCAGTATTCTTGGGCTTCCCTGGTGGCTCAGCTGGTAAAGAACCCGCCTGCAGTGTGGGAGACCTGGGTTCGATCCCTGGGTTGGGAAGATCCACTGGAGAGGGGAATGGCTACCCACTCCATTATTCTGGCCTGGAGAATTACATGGACTATATAGTCCATGGGTTTGCAAAGAGTTGAACATGACTGACGACTTTCACTTCACTTCCTAGTTCAAAGTCATATGACAAACTTACTGCGAATTATCTTCAACCTTTTAATAAGAAGATATGACTTCCATTAGGAAATTTGTAATACATTCTAGGATAACCTCATACAGTGAAAACTCCTAAAGGTGACTGAATACTTGTTTTTTTTTTTTTCTCAGTTAGAAGCCTGTGGACAAAATAATCAAGTAAATCATAAATAAATGAGTGAGAGGTATAAAGTAATCTGCAAGCGGTCACACAGTGTCCAAGGAGCGAACGTGACTCTGGCTAAATCTGAACAGTTTAATGTAAGGACAGGAAGAAAGCTTGTTTTCTCATTTCTAAGTGACACAGATGGAAGTGAAGAATTTGGAAACTGAAAATGCAATAATACATATGGTGCTGCTGCTGCTGCTGCTAAGTCCATTCAGTTGTGTCTGACTCTGTGCAACCCCATAGACAGCAGCCCACCAGGCTCCGCCACCCCTGGGATTCTCCAGGCAAGAACACTGGAGTGGGTTGCCATTTCCTCCTCCAATGCATGAAATGCACCCTGTCTGTGTCAGCTGTTGTCTCTGCCCGGACCGTCCCCCACTGGGGTATAACCTCGACCAGGCCCAGTGAGCCGGGGTCTCTGTGTGAGGGGTCTGGGGCACAGCCATCATCTGGGGGCTGGGGGAACGCTGGGTGTGTGCAGGCGGTGGGGGCGGGCCTGAGGTTCTGGTGGAGGGTCTGACACCTTTGACCAAAACTTCACACTGGGTCCTGACTCTTAGAAAATTTCAGACGCTTAAAGTCAGGGAGGGAAGCGACGTGAAATGGGGGGACTTCTAGATCCTTGGATAGCTGGTGAAAACCTCACTCTTTTCAGACTGAGACCTCAGTCCCATGAATGTTTTCTAGAAGGACGCCTGAATTCTGACTCAGAGCTGTGGCCAAACCCTGCATAATTTAGATCTTTCCCACTGGGATTTTCACCCGGGTTTCCTTCACATAATAAAGTTATTTTAAAAGTATTTTCTGAAGATGAAGTATAATTACTTCCCTGTGAATGAGTATTTTTGTTTATCCTATGTCTTGGATATCATGCTCAGCAACAGGGAAAAAACTGCAATAAAGAACTTTTAAAAAGAGACTGTGGCCTGAACTGTGGGCTCTGGGCCATGACCTGTCAGTCCAGGTTCTGGGGAGGGACCCTGATAATGGGGAACCTGCCGAGGGAGGTTTATGCCAGCAGTTCGCTGTGTTTTTTGCTTCTCTTTGCTTTGAAACATAAAACGGCTTAGAAAACAAAGTCTATTTTCTTTAAACACACAGAAAAGCTGAGATAAAGGGTTTTTTAGAAGCCCGTGGTATCTTGCACAGACCACAGACCCTCTGCTCCCTCCTGCAGCGTGCAGGCCGAGCCGTGTGACCCGCGTGGAGAGCCCGTGGACACCTTCCCGCTGGCCCCGGCTCTGCCCTGTGTACAGGCCGCTGGGTGCACTTTCCCGGTGTGCAGGCAGGAGTTTCCAGCTTCCCCACGCTGCTCAGTCTCCCTCTGTCTGTGAGAGCTTATCGGGCCCTAACCCAGTTACAGTCACCCTAGTAACTCTGCTTAACTCAGTATTTTGATGTTTTTTAAACACACAAAACATGTTCGAACACTAAAGAATCACGATTCAGTAGTGACTGCCAGAA